GAACTGCTCTAAAAAAATGAACTGAATTAACATAAGTGGAAAGCTGTGGGGGAGACAGTCTTTTGTCTGTAGCACGGACAACGGCTTGCTTTGGGTCCTGCTCTCTGCCGCAGAGCCTTGTGCCATCTCTAGGGCTCAAGGACAAACCCATCCCTGCGGCCGGTGCTCTCTGAGGATTTGCAGTCGGCATTGACCCAATGCAGAAAAGTTTACCGGCAACGCTCACTGACCGGAGATAAACAGACAAATCTTCTCTGGAGCAGACTATTAATCAGATGAGAATTCCTCATTGTCCTATAAACCAATGGGATGACTTATTGTTCGCAGACACATTGTAATAATACAATGAGCCTCATGAGCATTAGCTGAATAAGAAAATCAGGTCATTTGGTGCTGCCTGGTGTTAATGATGAGTGAAGATATTTCTGAGCTAATCACTGGGCTAATGTCCCTTGGGCTTTGCCTGCCTCCGATTCCTCAGTTTTATTAACTTTTATTTGTGAAATAAAAAAAGGCTTGTCTTGAAACACAACCTCATCTGCTCAGTGAGGTCCACCTAACTGCTCTGGGCTTAGCCATGGTGTTATCGTCACCAAATTAAAGGTATCGTTTCAGTACTTTCCTGGAAGTTTTGCTGATGTGAATGAGAAGTACATTAACTTCAAGGGGATTAAATTCAGGGTGGATCCTGGCAGCTGAAATGAAGAGACTGTGTGCGTGAGACATGCGTGGCTGGATGCCTGCCCTCATCCTCCCTTGCATTTGCACTCCCGCCTTTCCCCTCTCCCGTTTCTGACACCGTCTGTCTGTTTGCTCTGTAGACAAGGACATGGACCCTGCCACTATCCAGGAAATCAGTGAGTCTGTTCTCTCCCTACGTCTCCCCACGGATGCTGCTGCAGTGCTGAGAAAAATGACTGAGATCCAAAATTTGGCGACTAAGCTGCAGTGCCCAGAGAGCATACTTGCCCAGACGGCTGAGGACATCGCTAGGGCCAAGCAGCTTCAGCAGGAGGCAGAACAAGCCAGGTCGGTTGGGGTTCAAGGGCTTTCGGCAGCTGAGGGTCACTCAGCCAGAGTGAGTGTGGTGGTTCTCAGTTGGATTGAAATCTTGCTCTGCGGGAGCTGTGCTGACTTGCACAATACGAAGCTCTAGCCTGGGATCTTCTCTGTCTGTACAGTGCCTAAAAGAATGAGTCTGCAAATCTCTGCAGACACCTCCCTGGTGCCCGATACGAATAAGAAATCTGGTTGCCAAGAATAGATCTTGTTATAGATACTAGAACAAGAAGGTCTTTACCAAAAGTAATGGAGGCTTTTCTCTATCTCTTGAGTCCCTGTGATGGGAGATGACAAGATTGCCCTGGTATTACTTGATATTGGTGACCTACATCCTAACTGCACAAGAGAGCATGAGGAGATTAAATGGGCTATTTGTTTTCTGGGTGAAAGTTGGGAGGATTATCCTGTGGTCCCTTAAAAAGTAATTACAGAGCGTCCTTGCAAATTTGGAGCATCTACCTTGTCACATGTTGACTTGCAGCAATATCCCAGCGAGAAGGTTAGCGGGATAAGTACGTAAACTCCTTGATAGTGTCTAACACCTGCTTAACCTGCTGGAAGTGATGAGACAAGGGATTCTGGCTTTCTATGGGGAGCTCTATCACCCAACCTGAATAGTCCCACTGCAAGCAGAAAAGTATTCATTGAAACTGGTTCAGTGGTTATTGCTTTCCCTTCAATACTTTTTCTTGCACTACTTACAAAACAAATGTTCCTAACTAGTTTAAAGGAAGGCTTTTCTCTCCCATTCTCGGTTTGTCTCCTCTGCTTGGGGGTATGAAATGGAAGTAACGCTTCTCTCGAAAGGAAACCTGCTGGAGTGCAGTGTGTCCAGATGTGTGGGTTTGTGGCTTTTAGGGGAGGGAGACTGCAACTTTCTCAGTAACAAGCCTGTCGTGTTTCTCAAGCTTCCTTATTTAGCCTCTGCAACCTCGACTTCCAGCCCGTGCAATTATCTACACTCATTCCTGGCTGTTTCCCACATTTCCCCAGGAACCGGGCAAATGCCGTGGAGGGCAACGTGGAAGAGGTGGTTGGGAATCTGCGACAAGCAAACACAGTGCTCCTGGAGGCCCGGGGTGCTATCAGGGGCTCTGGCTCTTCCCTTCGGTTCATTCAGGAGCGTGTTGATGAAGTAAGTGATGTGCGGTGACTTCCCAAATAATGATACTGTGCCCTGCTCACTGCTCCTTTGAAACTTCCCCACTTGGTAGAGTCCTGCACCAGCACAGCTGGGAAATGGGATCTGGTGAAGCTTTTGCTGTAAAATCTTCTTTCTGTGGTGCCTCACTTGTGTGCTTCTCCAAACTCGAGTCATGGTCCCTGCCCGAGCCCCCTGAGACAAGCCCTGGGGCTGCCGTGCTCAGCTGCGCAGGGAGCAGTCCCGGCTCCCTGCCGAAACCCTGCTTCTGTGATGAGTCTGTCAAGCAGCGTAGCTGGTCCCTGCGCAGAGGAAAAAAAACATTAGGAGTGGGGTTTGGATATGGTTTCCTTCTTAATGTGGAGCACTCTGCTTTTAGATTGAGGCTGTTCTTGGTCCAGCTGAGAAGAACGTGAAGTCCCTTGCGGGCCAGCTGGACGGGCTGATGGAAAGACTCTCGCAGCTGCAGCGTGGAGCAGACCAGAACCGCCTGCGGGCCACCGACGCACAGCAGACGGCCGGGGAGGCGGGCGAGCAGGCCAGGAGCGCGCAGCAGGTACCGGGCTCCGGCATGTTGCTGGCCAGGGCGGTCACAGCTGTGCTCCGCTTCCCCGCTGTCATTAGGCAGCAAAGCCAGCTGTGGCCTGGCATGTTTTTGAATGAGGTGAGGAGGCTTTCCTGTTCAGGCCATGGCTTGTGCGTTATCGTGTCACTTCTTATTAATCTGATGTAGTATCCCACTACTGAATTCTTTCCTGACTTATCTCTGTTGTATCTCCCACCTGAGGCAGAGTAGCCCATACAGCTGTCAGTCAGCATCTTTCAGAGTGCATCGTGAACTGTTATGCATTTGCATGATAACATCGTGGCAAAGCTCTAGTGCAATATCCATTTAATATTTAAAATGGATTCAACGTTGGAAAATCCCCTTTCCCCCAGTCTATTTGCTTGCTCCTACCTGCACTGCTTATTTGCTTTTCCACAGGCTTTTGAACAAGTGAAACAAATGTACGCTGAGCTGAAGAGAAGGATGGAGCAGAGCCCGGCTCTGGGAGAGCAGGGCAGCAGGGTGCAAAGCATAGACCTGGAGGCACGGGCTCTGTTTGAGGAAACTTTGACCATGATGCTCAGGATGGAAAGTAAGACTCTTTGTGAACTCAGTGTAATCATAGAATGGTTTGGGTTGGAAGGGACCTTGAAGATCATCTAGTTCCAACCCCCCTGCCATGGCAGGGCCCCCTTCCACTAGCCCAGGTTGCTCAAAGCCCCGTCCAACCTTGCCTTGAACACTTCCAGGGAGGGGGCATCCACCCCTGCCATGGGCAGGGACACCTTCCACTAGACCAGGTTGCTCAAAGCCCCGTCCAACCTGGCCTCAAACGCTTCCAGGAATGGGGCATCCACAACTTCTCTGGGCAACCTGTTCCAGTGCCTCAGTACCCTCATAGTGAAGAAATAAGTAATAATCTCACGCACTGGGGAAGGGCTTTTGACTCCCAGTGGGGTGAGGGAAAGAAATTATGAGGAAGAGAACATACTTACAGCAGTGAGACGGTGCAGATTTAGGCTGCATCTGCTGGTGCTGTGCCAGTAAATTTAGAATTTGCAAGGGTGTGTGGGTGGCCGTGGAAGGGACGCCCTGCCTGTGATGCCGATGTGGCCCTGTTTTCCTCCACACACTTGTTTCCATTTTTAAGCATTCAAAAGTAATGGCTTTGTTTGGAGCAGTCATGTTGGGTTTTTTGAGGGGGAGAAGGGGGAACATAAGAGGAGAAGGTGGTGATACTTGTTTTCCTCGCCCCACCAGAGCTATGCAGGAGGGAGATGGAGGCTCAGCCCAACCTGCTGGGGTGGGTAATGGCCATGATGCCTTCCTCCTGTCTGATCATCGTGTAACCCTTTCCTGCCCTCTTTCCTCAGCTTTAGAGATGGAAATTCAGGAAAGCAACAAGGCTTTGATGTCCAAGTCGGCCAGGCTGCTGGGCCTGGAGGAGCAGGTGGGAAGGATCCGGGACGCCATCAACAAGCGAGTTGCCTACTATGAGAGCTGCTCCTGAGCGAGCTGCCCGTGCTCCGACGGCATTGCCTTCCTCCTCTGCAGACACTGACTTGTGTATTTATTCCCATTTTCCAGCTGGAGTTCTCATGTGCCTAATGTCTCTATTTTTAGCAAATTGAGTTTTCGTACCGCTGGAAAATAGCTGCACTGAGCCAAAGGAGCAACCCCCTGGAGAGGGCTAACCTTTGTTGGACTGGCTGAAGCTGCTCAGTGGTTGGAGGAAAAAGGGGGAGAGACATCAATCTTCCATTGCAAATAAAAACATCCCTAAAGCTGTTATTTCCAGAGGGGTTTATAAACCAAGACATTATTTCTTTTTCTTGTTTTAGCCAATTCAAGCTCTTTTAGCTGAATCTTACTGTTCAAATTAAAACCCTCATGTCAGGCCTTTTAAAACTTTTTATCTATGCTGCAGTTAATCCTTAAAACTTGCCATGGCTTCAGTACTTCCCTCCTAGAGCTTTCTTCAAAGAACCAGATCACAGAAATAGAGAATTTTATCTCCATCGTATCTATACAACATACCTATGTTTATACAAATAAGAGAAATGCGATCTCATACTCAAAGGTGAAGTCAAATGTCTTGTTTGACTTTCTGACACAATCTGCTTATTTACCATGTAACGCTTTGCCAGAAAAATACCAGAGGGAGCAGGTCTGCAGATGCACAGGGAATGCTTTAGAAGGGACTTAATAGACCGTTTCCACATCAAATTTCTATGAATAACCAACAGGCACTTTACAAAACAAAACTCAGCTTTATTAAGCAAGTATTTATTGTGCAATTACAGACTTGGAAGCAGGGAATTTAGACCTTGCTGTGATTATTATCAGACATATGGAGGTTGCTAGCAGGTTATCTTTCCTTTTGTAGCTGAAGTGAGAACTGCACAGCCTGGGCAGCTGGTTGATGCTGAACTTCAGAGTGCCGAACCCTGGGACTAACCAAAATCCAAGGACAGGATGCAGATTGTAAAAATAGCTGAGCTGCCACTGAGTAAAACTCTGCATAGCTTTGGTTTATAGGATTTATGTTGTGCAGTGCACTTATGCATTGGACAACTAAACAATATGCAGAAAACAAAAGCTTATAGCATTGAGCGATGTCATATAGATAATATACACTGAATATGCCTGCAGTAGCCTCAGACTTTCCCTTACTAAAGTGCCTTCTCCCAGTTTTAACGATCCAGAAACACCCTGAGGTCACTGCATTGATGGATTCCTGGGACTAACATGCCGCTCGTCACCAGTCGGTCGCTGCTCTCTGGGATGCTGCTGCCCGCCTGCTCCTGGCAGGACACAGCCTCCTTTCTTGCTTGCACTGTTGATGTCTGGCTTTGAAGCGCAGAAAAGAGTAAAACAGCCCTTCTGTTTCTGCAAGAGAGAGAATTTCAAATGAGGGTTGAACTTGGTTTCGCTAGACTGCTACCTTCAAAATGTGCTCTGTTAATAAGCAGTAGCATGGGGGCTAGGAACAGCTTAGATCCCTTTGTGTGCCTTATTTATAAAGGGTTATTACATGTCTGATCATTGGAATGGACCTTTTTGGAGCCTATAGTAGATCCTACTTGCATTTGTCTCTTCTATTAATCCTTTGTATTTTACAGTTCTGTTCATATAATGTCATCAGTAGAGAGGGTCATAAAAGATGATAGGACGTAGCTCACTTTATGTAGCTTTTGTGGAGAACTATGCTAGCATATGCTCGCCTTTGAGGAACATTCTTTATTGCAGGATCTAATAGCAATACTTCTTACTGCTCATATATAATGTGGTGCAAATGATAATTTAGCTAGTCCAGAATTAATCCAAGCTATGGTCAAACAGGATGAAACTTTCCTGATTGTACTCTGCTCACCTACAAAACGAACATCTCCATGCTCTGCTCTCTGGTAACAAAGCAACTTAAACTGACCTGCCTGGGCCGAATCTGGGAAAGGGAATGGCCCTTCAGGCTGCAGAGATGTCCTGCCTATGCTCAGTCACGCACCAGCAGCCTGTTGTCAGCCCTTTGCTCATGGTCACAGCTGAGACCCAGCTAAAAAGCCCTAATCCCAGCTGATGAAGCTGTCTGGTTCCAGTGTGATTCCCAGTGAGCAGCTTTGAATAGTTGTAGAGTTCGATATGACAGGTCCATGCTTGGCTTCCTTTCACATGCTTCTTGGGCAACCCTGTTGTAACTGTAAAAGTTGGATTCAGAGTCACTGGACTGGCCTTAATGGAAGCTGAAAGATGGTTTCTTCCTTGAAAGATGGTTTAGGTAAGGCTTTTCCTGTTGCAAAAAACCTGTGAGCCAATTTATTTCATGTACAATCACTTTGCTATTTGTGCCTTTCCCTTTTTTATGCCGTAATAGGATTAATTAAAAGTAGCTAGTGATTGGATCGTGGAGCACTTACCGCTGGTGATGTGGGGAGCCCGGTGGCTGCCTCCTCATCACATGATCAAACAAACTCCAGTTTGCCCAGTGCCACAGTGAGAAGAGTGTTTACTGGTTTTCATTGGAACAAGAACTTCTGTTTTGAAATGACTGGTTGGAAATGGAAGAATCAGAAGAGAGAGAAGAAAAAAGAAATAGCAATATTTAGGATCATTCTGCAGGTGAATTGAACACAACTTGAAGTTGTGTTTTTAATATAAAGAACATCAGCTGCTGAAAGCAAAGCAGAGCTGGGTGCGAGTTAAGGCTGCAGCAAAGGCAGGGTCTGGTCACTCAGCACCAGCTGAGTAATTGGCATCAGCAGTTTCAACCACAGGCAACTGCAGTTTCTGGAAAGCAAATGTGCTCAAGTCAATGGCGTGTGTCAGCTGAGCACTGCTGCCTCAGCTCACTGCAAGCTTTGCCATGCAGCCTGGGCAATGTGCCTCACCTGATGCTCCTACAAGCATGGAAGACACTTGGCTGGGTACTGCTATCCAGCCAGTCAAAACATTTGTTTCTGTCCTTATTCCTCCCTTCTTTCTACCTCCACTTGGGGCTGGCAACTTAAATGCCAGGCAACTCTTTCCAGAGATGGTTATTCCCGTATACTTTGTTGGAAATGATGGCTGATGTTTTGGATACCTACTGGGATTTTGCAGATTTTTTAAGAAGTACTGTCTGGGAGCGGAAGGACGTCTTCGTTTTCTCGTGCCCCACGCAGGCTGGACTGTAGCCACAAGAAGTTCTGGTTGGTGGGCTATGGTTATCTGGCAGGACCAGGTTGCTGCCTGTGGGCGGCGGTCCATTCTCTGAGTGGCTTTGTGGCTTTCCCTCTCTCATTCCTGTGTCTTGCTCCAGCTGAGTGGGAGGGTTTGGACAGCCCTGCGTGGGGACCAGAGGGAGTGATGTGTCCTCATCTTCGTTTGGTATTGTTGGCCGGGTGGCCACTGTGGGTGTGTTGGGTCTGGATGCCTCTGAGATTTGTATGATAGGGATGGTGCGTTCAGCCGCTGCATGACCGTTCATGTGGAGCTTCTTCATGTGGTGCACAACGGTTGCGGCGTTGAAGGCTTGCTGTGGAAGAAGACAAAAACCCCACAGTGAGCACCCACTGATGCCAGGCTGGGTGGGTGCTGTGGGACGAATGGACTGTCCCCCTTAGGTAATGACTGCGTGCTCAGGGCGGGCAGCGCTGTACTGGTTAGCACTGACTGTCTGTTTGCACAGTATGTGCAAAGTGGGACGTGCTCGTTCCTGGCATAAACACCACGGTTTTCGTTGAGTGCAAACTGCGGATGCTTTTGAAGATTACAACCACTTCTACATGAGGAAATCAGGGGGAACAGCTGTAAATTACCCCGCAGTGTGAAATGGAGACTAGAGCTGAATTTTTAATGTAAGTATTTAAAATGCTATCGTACATGTGGTTCCTCTGGTATTTCTCTCTCCACCTAAATTCTTACTAAAACTCTTGATATAAATGAAGTACCAATTTATCTTTAAGGCTGAAAGGAGGAAAAGCCAGGTTAAGCTCCCAGGAAGATCTGCTGATGGAGCACCAATTTCACTCCCTCGGTATAAAGGCAATAATCCTTTCCCCCTCCCCTTTACTTTCTTGGCGAGGCCACTATAGTGCAATGTTTGCGGTAAATCTACCAGTATGCATTGCAGCAGGGAATATTGGTCCAAACATGCTATAAACATCATACAATTTTCAGGCAGCCTTTGGAGGATCTCAGCTTTTGGGTTCTTACCCACACAGCTGAAGCCTTGCTTATTGCTAGATGGCAGGAACTGGTATTTGTTAGTGAAATGGCTCTAGGCTCCCACCAGCAGACGACTTACCCTCCATTTGCTCTTTGCAAAGTTTTTCTGAATCTGAGCACTGACAGATGGGTATATGTCACGGTGAAGGGCTGTATTTCCATTAATCCTGCAGATGGGGAGAGAAGAAAATGGGCTCGTAGGCAGATGGCATTTGTAAGGCATTCCACATTCTGGAGGCAACTAAATGCTTTGTACGTTCAATCAGCAATAATTAAACCCAAAGGAAAAACAGCAACAAAATGTAACACAAACACACACTTCAAAGCTTGGAAAAGCTCAGGATGGGATTTCTTCTTTGCCTCTGTTTATGGAGGCAAATATGCACAAATTGCATCCTTAATTATTCATAATTTTCTTTCTTTGCACACAAAAAACAAACACCCAGGGCCACGCGGAGGCAGACAGTGACGTTAATAATGGGGGCTGGGGAGACACTCCTGTTCTCAGCTATCACCAAGCATGTGGAGCAAGACGCGTAGGCTGGTACTTGCTCTCAGCTACCACTGAGCATGTGGAGCAAGACGCGTAGGCTGGTAAATCCCCGTGGCCACTAGCTACTGCCGGGGCCCCGGTCCTCTCACCATGGGTGCCGCAGGGCTTCTTCACAGGTAAACCTCTTGTTTGGGTTTTTCTCCAGTAAATGTCTGATGAAATCCTTGGCTGTTTGGGAGGGGAGGAGAAGCAGAGAGAAAAGGTTATTTTTGCCTTGTTCCAAGATATGATCCTAATAGGATATGGCAAACGCTGGTGGATAAACATCGCAAAGCTCAGCCCCGAGAAGGAGGTGTTCATACAGCTTCGTTACTCTGTTAAAGGGAGATGCTTGTAGTGAAGAGCTCTAGATGGAAAAAATGTTAACTGGGGACATACCAAACTTCAGGCTTAGATTACGTGAATTTGAGTTGAATTATTCAGCTAAAAAATAACTCTAAAAAACATGAAGTGCAAACTGAGCAGATTTAGAAGTTGCCCTAAAGAGCAGTTACATCCCTCCCTTTTTTTTTTCTCTTTTTTTTTGGGGGGAGGATTGTGGTGCTTGTTATTGAGTCCTAACAAACCTCATGCTAGTTCTGTTTGTATGTATAAAAGATTGATGTTCAAAACATGCTGCTAAGATGCTGGCTTCGGTAAACTCTGCGCAGGCGAGCTCCACAAGCAGGTTAATCTGGTGGAAGGGTGCAGTGGTGGCTGACACGGTTTGCTGTGTTGATGTAAGGAAATGTGAGCTGACGGGAAGAAAAGTAAAAGGGAAAAGAAAAAAAAGACCCCAAAACCAGAAAACCAAGGTGAAAAAACCCTGGAGTTCCCCTGCTTCCAAGGGAAACCTAAGCCCACTCTGAGCTCACTAATCGTTTGTGAAAATCAGGGTTACATTAACAGAGGCTTCAGCTGAGGATGCTGCATTACAGGCAGGATGCAAAGTACCCTAAACTCTGCCAGTGCAGCTCAGCTTTGGCATCATCACCCCTGCTCCTGCGGTGCTGGGAGCCTCTGCAATCAGTTCCCATGTCTGGGGGTTTGCTGCTGTGTGAGTGACTCAGTTCAATGCTTCATCCTTTTCCATCCCTGCTGAGGCAAGCGAAGGGCGTTCAGGGTGTGTGTGGGGGCTCTGCTGGTGCAGGCTCATGCCCACGGGCTGCAGGTTCTGGATTGCAGCTTGTGGGAGGGAGTGCGGTGCTTCCCAGTGCCGGAGCTTTACCTGACTCAGAGATGTCGTCCCAAAATGGAGACTCAAACTCATAGTAGCCTTCCTTAATCTTTTCAAACAGTTTGGATTCAGTCTCTTCGTAGAAAGGAGGATACCCGCACAGCCTGGAACAGAGCAGAAAGCCAGTGGTCCTTCAGCGCTGCCGTCCACATCTGCACAGGCTCCCCCGCAGCCCGGCCAGGCTGGGCACGCGTGGGCAACATGAGTGAGTGAGTAACAGAGGAGGCTGCTCTATCCATCTGTCCCTCCCATCTAAGTGTAACGGTAAAGCTGCAGAAAAGAGTTAAAGAGTTAAAAACTTAACTGCAGCAGTGAAAGTACAAAGCCACAGCTGGTATAGCTGTATGGCGTAGGAGGAAATGAAACAAAAAGTACTGAGGAAGATTGAATGATATTTGTAGGCAACTGAAAAAAAAACAAAGCATAGGATGAGGCACATAATAGAGAAAATGTGATTCCTTTCATCTGCACTCCAGCACTTGATTCCCCACATCCCTTTCATTTCTATGGTCTAGTGAATCTTGTGCAAAGGAAGAATACACCACTGCTGTATTCCTGCAGCAAAATGGGAGGTCTGGTATCACCTCCGCTTGCACTGCCACTCTGCAGAGGTGTCTGAAGCAACGGAGGAGTTGGGAAACTCATGGAAAAATAAGTGGGATGCTGTTTGCTCTTACTCACAAGATATAGGTGATGACTCCAATGGACCAGCAGTCTACGGCTTTGCTGTACGGTTTCTGGGCGAGGACTTCGGGGGCTGCAGAACAGCAAAACCAAATGAAAATTCTAAGCAATAATAAATTACTCAATACTGGGAAAAGCAGTAGTTCTTGTACGCTTGGCCTCTGAGGTGATAGTGCAGCAGAATCAGCCAGTAACAGCCCCATTTACCAGTTAGATTGGTCTGTGCTTTTTGTATCTATTTTATGCCGTTAAATAGAAGGAATCACTGACAATTTCTGCCTGCATCCTGAGGCTTTAACCAGTGAGCTGTGGATCAAGCCAATGCAGTCTGGTGGACAAAATCCCATTGTGTTAAAATTTCAATAAATACATGACTAACGCTGAAATATTTTTTTTATCCTTTTCTTTGCACTTTTAAACGTTCTGGGATTTTGCAGTCTCTACACTCATCTGTAATTCAGTCTTTATGTGGTCCACGCAGTGCATCTGTGAGTAGCATGTTGTTGTTAACGTAATTATGTATTTATTTTTTTTCCTTTCTGCTAGGCAACGTACTGTACATGCACGACCTTTTTTCCAGACAGTCCACCAGCACAAGCCCATTCCTGATCCTTGGCTTACCAACGTATCCCGGAGTCCCACAGGCAGTGGACATGATGCCGTTCTGTTCCATTTTAGACAAGCCGAAGTCTGTGATCATGATTTTGGAGTTCTCTTCGGGAGTAAGGTAAAGAAGGTTTTCAGGCTGTGAACACAGAGTGATCAGAGGTTGAAATTTGTGGCAGAAAAATGGAAAGGAACAACAGAAAGTAAGTCATGGGGCAGAGCAGGTAAAGTCTGCAGTCATACCAGCTCCCCGAAGCACTGCTGTTGCTGGGGGACAGGTCTCACCTTCAAGTCGCGGTGAACTATTCCATTTTCGTGGAGGTACTTCACTGCTGTCAGGACCTGGTGGATCACCACACTCGCATCTTTCTCAGTGTAAACTCCTCGTTCCAAAATTCGATCAAATAGCTCTCCCCCAGATACCCTGTGGAAATAGTAGTTCAGAAAGAAAAAGACTGAAAAGAAAATGGAACAAAGCTAATCACGATTTCGTGTTAGGCAAGCTAACTTTCTGGTCCTTTTACAACTCCACCTACAGCAGAACTGTTCCTTGGGCAGCAGTTTTTGTGAGGCTGAGAGGCTGACAGATACTCTTGAGTACAATTTCAGGGTGCCAGTAAGCATTACTGGTAAACCTAGGGATTTTGGGTAAGGTTACGATGCAACTCCCGCAGGTCTGAGCCACAGGCATCCAGCACTGTGGGCAGGACTGCCTTCAGGCTCTGCTACACAAGCAGATACAGGTTTTTGTGTGATTGCTTCCTTTTAGCTAAATTTGCAAGTTAGCGGTAGCAGCTGGGTGCTCAGAGCTGATGCCCACAGTGAGCTGCTTTCTCTGCAGCTGACATGTTGCCCATTTTCATTTCTAGAAACCCTGCATGGCACAGCTTTAATTAGAAATACTTCTGTCTCTGCCCTGCTAAACTGTGATGAATTAATTTGCATAAATAGATCCTAATCTTGGTTTAGAAACTTGCTGCTAAAACGAGCATGGGCCAAGACAGCATGAGAAGTGTCCAGGTTAGTTCAAACCATGCGTCTCTCGCTTCGTTAGTGAGGGGTGTTTGAATGGCTCTTGTGCATGCAACTTTTACACGTGAGGGACTCTGGTATGTAGGTGCTGAAATACAGTGCGTCACCCTGGTCCTGCCACTGTTCTTCCTCTGTGGCCTACAAAGAAATGGCTCTGCTGATACTTACAGCTGCATGACCAGGTAGAAGTGGGTTGTACTCTCGTAAATATCTTCTAAAGTCACGATGTTTTCATGCTTTATTCTGCAAAGATAAATGTGGGTCAGAAACAAACCTGGCAAGGACAAAGTGGCTTCTCAAGTGGAAAACCCAAGAGTCATCTTGCTTTAATCACTAGTGAAAGTTCACTGGGCTGTTTTGTGGCTGATCTCCCTCGACCTGCATGGCAGAGGATCGTTGATGCTGCTGCAAACTCCCTTCGGAGCACCAGGCACCAACAGTGGAGGACCAGATCCTTTGTTTTTAAGCAGCTGCCTGCTCTGCATCAGGTGTGTTACGTGGACTGCAAAAGCATTAACTGTGGTTCTCCTTTCCCTGAGTACTGCTTTGCTTCACCTATCTCCTTCCACAGGTCTGGGGCAGTATGGCTGTCAGGGTTACAAGTCCAGCCGAGGAATGAGAGAAGAAACTTTACTGATCTACTAATTCATAATAATATTTATATATTCTTTAAAAAGAAATACTTATTTCTTTATATTATTCTTAATGTAGAGCCACATGGCTTAGGAAAGGACATTTGTTCTACTTTACATTACAATGTATATATACACTCACTTTTTCAACACTGCTATTTCATTTTCCAAGCTGCTATCCCTTGTGAGAGGAGACTTCTTGATGCATTTCAGAGCGAAGAGCTTGCCAGTGCTTCTTTGCTTCACTAGGAAAACTTCCGAAAAGGCACCTCTGCAGAGAGGAGAAGAAGCTGCATTTCAGTAGATGCTGCTGCTGTGAACTGGAAGGATACTTACAGAGAGAAAGAGGAAATAGCAAGAAAAAACAATACTGTAGTAATTTAACTCTAAGTGGATGCTGATTGTAAAGCTAGAACTACATCTCCAGCAGCCCCAAACTTAGGATATTCAGTGCAAGATTATGCAATATGTAGACACACACCCACCCCCACCCCCCAATTTTCTCTGTTTGTAGAGAAAAGGTTATTTTTGCACAGTTCATCATGAAGCTGTGTTGAGGTGGTGGACAAAAAAGATCCCTGCAATGAAATGAAATCACATTCTTCGGGACTGTCTGTAAAGACAGTCAAGTGTGTTACTCTTGCGTGTGCTGGGCTATGGGTGAACTTCAGCCGTGCCAGATTCGGAGCACACCTCCGGGGAGGCAGATGGCAAACACAGTTTTCAGCACGTGCCTCAAGGGTGGGTGCAGGAGGAGGCATCGTCCATGGTCTCGCAGCTCGCTGCCTTTCAAAGAACCTTTGCACTTGAAACCATTGGGACTGGGGGGATTTTCCCAGGCTAAGTGCGAGCCCAGCCGAGGGGCTGTATCGATAACCACCTCGCTAATGGGGCAGTCTGCAGCTCAGGTGCTCGTTGGGGTTAACAACCCCCCCTGGAAAGATCTCAACAGCCTCCACTCTAATGGGGCCAAATTCCTGCTTAATACAAATCCTGTCTCCTCAAAGCCCCCATCGTCTTAAAGTAGCCCTTCGCTTCCCCTGGTCAGCATCGCGCTGAGGACTAAGATAGCCGAATTGCAGTGAGGAGAGCCCAATTATGTTGCAGTTTGGGTATATCAATCAACGTTTTGTATATCTAAAGTGCAGAACAACTGGATAACCTCAGTTAATGCTTTCATTCAGCAACCAATGTGTTTTCCTTTCTGCAGAGACTGCTAATACCTGCGTACCCTTAGTGACAAAGTGACAATGAGCGTCCTGTGCATTCCTGATATGGGTTCAGCCCAGTGCAGCGATAAGCGGGTATTTATAACATGCCTAAAGCTCTCAATCCGGCTCAAGGTTTGTCTTTGCAGCTGAAATGTGGGCCTCGAGATAGTGACAGTGCATACTTTGCTAGGTCAGTCCTCAATAATTCTCATCAAATGAGCAACAGATTAATTGATGGCAGTTAAATGGAACTTGCCACTGAGTCTGCAAAGCACTGCAGGGAGCTGGAGGGCAGAGTGAGGAAGGTGGGCGCAGCGGAAGCACCTTCTTGGTTGGGATGTTATTGCAGCAAACCCAGTAAACAAGGGCAGAAAACCTGTATCTCCTCTAATCCACTAAACAAAGAATCCAGCTTACTGTGCAGATGGGTTGGCTGAGCACGGAGCCGTACCCATCTGGCATGCGGTGCTTTGCTCCTGTGTCTTTGCTAGGGAGCGGGAGCCTAAGGCAGCGCCTCGCTCGGCTCAGCTTTCCTCCTCCTCCAGTGGGCCCCTGAGTGCTGCTGAAACAATGTGCAAGACCACTGGGGTTGTGAGGAACCGGGCTGTGCCAGGACCGGTTCCCAGCAAGGGGGGAAAAAACCCCCACCGACAAAAAAAAAACCAAAAAAACAAAAAAACAAAAAAAACAACAAACAAAAAACCCCATAGGTTTTTGGGAAAGCATCCCAACAGATGAATTTGAATTTTTGTTTCACTCAGTAAATGATGTGCAATGGTCTTCTCTCTTCTGGCTCAAAAAGCAGGTGGGGTTGGGACCTTTTCCTTGTTTCACACATTTTTCTCCTTTTATCCATATAAACTCTGAAGGCTGTTTCGTGGAAATGCCTTTCAAGTTCCTTGGAGCTCTCAGGGAATAGGCAGGGATGTCCTCACTAAGGTCCCTAATCCAACAGTTGTGGATGCTGGGGGAAGGTGATAGTAAATTTCCAGGTAGTTTTAGGTCCCAGATCTTCGTTTATACTTGTCAGCTAGCTGGAGCGGTGCATGTGGAAAAAATCCCAATTTCTAATGCTAAATTTTCCTGTTAATGTAATAGTAGGAAATGAACAACCTACAAATCAGATGCTGGGGCATCTGTTCTAGATGTCTGTCCCAAACAGTTTATAATAATTATGCCCCTTATTAAAAAATGATGAATCAACAAGTTGGCTAGGAGAGAACAAAGCTTTTTCTAACCTCATTCCTTTAGAGAAAGCTGCTGGATATTTTAACTAATTACTGAGGCTGACCATGAACACGATAATTTAAAATGTCGCCCAGCTCTGGAGTAGCTGTTTTTTCGGAGCGTTGCCGTGGGTTCTGAAGTCGCAGAAAATTTGGCCGTGACAGAACTCGCTGGTGGAGGTAATTCAATTCCTCCTCCACCACCTTGGAAATGTTTTCTTGTCTCATTCGCATGAATAGGCAAATTAAGCTGTTAACTCACAGAGAAGTATCGTACAACTTGAACATCCTTGTTCTTGTTTCATCCCTCAACTGAGTCAGGGTTTATCAGCTAAATATACGACATTATTATAATACCTCTCCCAGAGCCATCCCTTGACCTTGCAGCAGCAGCAGACCGGTGTGCTCAACGGGAAAATAGCAAAAACTTTAACTAAGCTGCCATGCAGGCTTAGAGGGAAGGGAGGAAAGGGCAGAGCTGACCCAGAGCCGTGCCGCAGGGCTGGGTGGGGAGGAGCTGCTTCGGTGCTGCTTGGCAAGCGCGAGCCATGAATCAGAGCACCCGCAGCAACTGTGCGGCAGCGATGGGGCGCCCACCCCTCACCTGGATACTGGTGCCTGTCTCAGAGGGAGCCGTTTTCTTGTGACATTGGCCAGTGCCAGGAAGGGAGTCGCTGCCCTGGGCTGGGAAGCCGGTGTCTAGAGGTGGCTCTGGCTGGAGAGCAGCTGTGGTACTTACGATCCCAGGGCCTCCATGAAAATGAATGTTTTTCGGATGTTGCTCGTCTGTTTCTTCCAGGAGCTGCTGTCGTCCTCTTCCTTGCGACCCATCTCCTCCAGAGTGGAAGCAGGGAACGCTGTGAGGAAGAGGAGGAGGAGCGGTGACTGACGTGGTGGGTGCTGTCATGAAGAACACCCAGGAGCTAGCTGGATTCAGGATGCCGTGAATGGCATTTGCTTGGTCAGAGGAGTCAGACTCTTCAAGTATGTGAAATTTTGTGCTGCTTTTGCTACTCACAACTGTTAGTGCTGACCACGTCCCTGCCGCTATGTCCCCCTCCAGTTGTCAGTGCAGCATAATACCGGATCAGCTGGGTAGGAGCTGGTGACCATATGGTAATGCTCTCTTGTCAGTATACTCACTTAGCACATGTTGGCAATTACAAATGTTTATATTGTGCTTCATATTTAGTGGTTAAAAAAGCCCTGCTGAATGCTTGCTAATTTTAACTAAGGCATCGATGACTTAATGGATGAAAAGTTAGGTACGACTAGTGATGGAGATGGATTTTAGTTGAGCTGCTTTATCGCTCAAATAATAAATAGTTTAAAGAGCTCATGACTGCAGGGAGGGGAATTGATATAAAACATTTTGTTGATCTGTCTTGTACAGTTTGCGCTGCTGTCATCTTTAATTTTTATTAATTGCCTGATTGCTTTTGCTCTGAGTCATAACCTTCCCGTTGCCTTTTTCTCACAGGGCTGCGATGCCACGGTGCTGGCTGCTGGGAGGCCACTGACGTGGCAAAGGGGTGCCCAGCTTTTAGTGCCCTGCCCTGATGGTGTGTCTCTGTGCTGCAGATGCGGAGCAAGCGGTCCCCGCCTGCAGCCCCCGGCTTGGTGCGCAGGGGACGGCGAAGGCAGCTCGCAGAAAATGCAGCTTTCTGGAGTCGCCCCTGCTCTGCGGGGATGTGGCTGAGCCCGTGTTATCGGCGTTGGAGGATGTAACTGCAGGAAATCTGGTCTGTCGGTAAACGCAGCCGTGGGACTCCTGGCTGATACATGCATCAGAAACACGCGCCGCTGCTCAAGGGCGGCTTGACCTTGGTCAGGCCCCAGTCCCCCATCTCCGCCCCACCGCTAAGCTCTTTAGAGCGCAGGCTGGGCAGCACCGCTGTAATACAGAAAGTAACGCTGTCAGCGTGGGGGGAGCTCACCAGAGCGGTGGGGAATTAGAGCTTGCACAAGGTCTGGGAGGTGTGAAATGTTATACAAACATCTAAGCACTACTAATAAGATCAGGTCTAACATATAGAACTTGAAGTATGCTGGAAGGTGAAAAAGAAGCCCTGAGACTAGGGGGAAAAAAAAAAAAAATGGCTTGTCCACACTATCAGGATACAAAAGAAATGCACTTAAAATATCCCTGGGCAGGAGGGGCTTGGGTGCTGACAGCAGCGCCCTTGGCACGTGGAGCATCCCCTTGGCACGTGGAGCACTGCACTTCTCGAGAGCCGGAACGGCTGCCCCAAAGCCTGTGAGACACAGCTGAGCCTTCAAAAGACAAAGCACAATCTTTTGCATAAAAATAAGCGTTTGGAAAAGGCCAGAAGTATTAAAGCAGAGAAAAAGCTTAAAGATCTTGTTTCATGACAGACAGCTTAGATATTAAATTCCTCCTGAACCTAGTTTATCTCCTTAATTAGCACAGTTTCAGGATTTTGAGCTCCTTGACACAATTTTTTAAAGGTTAATTTAACATTATTGAAAACAAAATTGACTCAGTTGTAAACAGTTGAAGGCTTCAGTTCATAAAATCACCAAAGGCCAGCACGCACTTGACCTTTATTTACCGTCTGGACTCTGATGCATAACTCCTAGCAATACAACTCCTTATAAAAACCAGCCATATCTTGCTGTTTAGAATCAGTGAAGATCAAAAGTTCTTCACAAAAATGCTGATCAACTAGGAGAAACCTTTCTGCCAATATTTTGAGCCCCAAAATGAAGTTTTCTTTTGTGGTCATCCACCCATCCCAAATCTCTACAGATCTGGAATATCACAAGAGAAAGAGTTTTCAGCAGAGATATTCAGCTGCTGGTGGAGGTGAGTTTTATCCCCTTTAAATAAATATCAAATGCACGATGCCAGTGTGGTGTTGAATGACGGGTAAAATTCAGATGACCTCCCCATTTCTTTCCCAGCTTACTGTCAAACAAAGAATATGAAGTAAAAAAAAAAAAAAAAAAGAAGGTCAGCCTGGCCCAAG